CATCTGTCCGTCTCACCATTTATATTTTAGTAGTGTCTTGTAGTTTCTTGGGGTGGATGAAGTACCTGGGTCACACAGCCTGAGATTTCTCCTGAAGTACCCTTGGCATAACCTTTTGATTATGTACAAAAGCATTATAACAAGAACTTTGTGAACAGACGTTGTACACATCACTAGATGTCGGAAGAACAACAAAACTTTATAAAAAGCAGAACTTGCTCTTGAGTACATAAAGTTTGCAAGTAAGAGGAGGGCTCTTGACACACCCACTTTTGTTTGGTTTTAAGTAGGACCTGGGGACCTCGTACAGCCATTTCTTGATGAAAGACATGACTGGGTACTGTGTTCCAGACTCGCACAGCGCTTTGTGTAAAGAAATGCCTTCTGTTCTCCATTTTATGTGCAGTTCCCCATAGTTTCTCTCTGTGCCCTCTGGTTCGTGTTTCACTGTGGATGAACTTTTTTGTTCATGTTCATCTGCTGTATGTGAGACATCCTGTTCCTGTGCAGCGATGCCTCTCACAGTATGCAATACTTGTAACATCACACTTTTTAGCTCAATATCGCTTAGCACGGCAAGCAGGCCGCTTTGAGTTCCTGACCTCTGTTGCCAGCATCCTGAACTGCCAGGCCGTTGTTGCCAGGGTTACCAGAAACAATGACAGGAAGCAGCAGGACAGGGATCACTTCCTGAGAGATGAGTGGGAGCTCGGGTCGTGACGGAAGACCGTTTCAGGCAAGAGCCGTCCAGCTGCGGCCGATGACAGCGCTTTCATTGTCTTCCTACGGGTCACATGATTTCATTGTTGCATCGGACGTCAGGATGTTAAATTGTTTTCCTCTTCTTCTGAAAGAGTCTCTTATTAAAAAAAATTAAGGTCTCTTGGGTTTTGAAAAGGGTAGAAAGACAACAGGTGACTTTCTCTTTGTCCAGACCTTCGAGGTCTGAGGCTCGTTTTGAATCTGGTTCGTGTTTACAAGGAGAATTCTTGCATCTTGCAAACCGTAAGACGACAATAATCTTATGTTAAAATCGGTAATGTTGTTCATATTGTGATTCTGCTATGTGTACACCACAGCATACTGATTACCTCAAAATCAATTGTAAGGTATATTGTAAGAGTATTTTTAAGCACGTTGCTTTATTTTAAAGACTAGACCACCTTACTGGGATTTAACCCTGTATAGTTATCACTCTATATGACATTGACAAAACCCTGTTAAACTTCGTTTTTTTAAACGTTTATTGCTCTTCATGGTTCATCTTAAAACAGTGCTCTGCTGTGAAATATTTGATATTGTTTTATTATTAGAATTTTATTTGGACTACTTTATCCAAAGTGACAGTGATTTACCGACATTACAGTTACTTTTTTGTTTGCAGACCGATCTTGGCGTCTGTCCTGCTGGGTTTGCTGGTACAATCTGGGTACAGTACCTTGATCTGCTATTTAAACCCAGAAGCCTAACTGTGCCCAGTGTATGATTACAATATTGTCACTCTCACAGGGTTTTTACAGAATGTACAGCATTGTCTCCTGTACGTATCTCTGCCAGGGTTCACCTCGGGCACAGCAGAGGCAGGAGAAACCAAACTGGCTGTGACAATCGGCGCCATCTAGTGTCGACACGATGCATGTGACTCGGCATGGTCTTGGTGGGAAAAGCAAGAGATGTGCGTAGCATTATGTAGCATTATATTATGAGTGACTCCCCAGGGGAAGAATCCTGGGGTCCTTGAGCAATGTCCACTAGGACCCCAAAAACAAAGGGGGAACTTTTATTCACCAGGCCGATCAGTGTGTGCTCACACAGCGGATGTGCTCTGAGATTCCAGTGGGCCTGTTTGCCTGCAGTCCAGTTCCGACAACCTTAGTGGTAGCGTCACTAAGTGCACTAATCCTGTCCAGGTATTTAATTTGACTGTATCGTGAAAGTGGGGGGTCCTAAGTGAGAGCACCCTGCTGAAATGGGGTTCACAAGAGAGAGAGTGCATACTCCGGAATTAGCGGGGATTGAACTGCTGGGATTGCCTGGACAGCAGACGGGGCAGGTTCAGCTGAATACCGACAGAACTGCGCACGTTCCTACAGGGTCAGAGATCGGAAACGAAGCACAGATTCATCTCCATGAATGTCCGTCTCGTAGAAGGAGGAAGTAACACGTTTGGGACTCCAGACAGGAAGCCCCTGGTTTGCTGGGTTGCTCCCGACTGTTTTACGATTCTCGCATGCGAGTGCAGATGTGGACTTCAGTGACACAAAACACAATAAAGCTTGTTCCATACACCTTGTGATGATGGGAAGGTGGGATGTCACGGTCATGTGTGCTGGCTGGAATTGTTTTACTGCCTAGTTTTAATGTACCTTTAAAAACAGCAAAGTCCCAGATTGATTTTTATGTACTAAATATGGCGCATCTTGTGTCCCTTGGCAGGAAGTTTTGAGGCGTTAGGCTGCTGTGTGCTTTAGGTCATCAGTGTGAGCTTACCAGGGAAGAGCACAACTGGAGCAAGAAAGGAGCGTGAGAAATCTCATTCCCAGTCCCACTGCTTCTGTACAGCATCTGTTGCCCCTGAGTATTTCACTCTCCGGTGCAGTGCTGTCAAAGCCCTTTTCTCCTGAGGGCTGTTCGGGTCCTCACGGTGCAAGCTAGCTTGTGGCTGTGCGTGCTGCCTGGTCTCCTTACAGTGGGCATTGATCAGGCTTGGGATCAGTTCTTGTTGCACTCTTCTTTATTAATGAGTGTCAAAGGCTTGCCGCGTGGGAACTCACAGTTGTGACATTTGTACAAGCCTGTTGGGCAGCCACCTCTGAGCTGGTACGTGGAGTTACAGAACATGAAGGAAGTCATTCACTTACATTTTAGGCTGCCATGAAGCAGCCTGGCCTGGTTTTGGAGATGATCCTCTGCGATGTGGAGTGACTGTGCTGTAGTTGTGTCATCTGAGTAATCCAGAATGACTTGGGGCACATCTGGAACTGACCACAAATATTTACAGTTTTGACATTTAAGACTGTATAAAGTAGTAGTGCATCAGATGTTCTACATTTTAAAGACATCTGTCATCATTTTTATATTTTGAAGTTCTTCAAGTAGGTAGCTACACAGCCGAAGAAGGCTCCACAGCCCAAACGTCGTTTCCTTTCTTCTGTTTTCAGCTTGGAATAAACATTTACTTGTTCCAAATTTATATTTTTCTTTTCCTAAGAAGGCTTCATTACCGTATATATGAACCTACATTAGGCTTTTTAACGCATTGTGAACATTCTTAATGTTTGTGTTTCAGAGAATCGAGTGTATTCCACTTTACTGTTACATCTGCTGTTAGAATATACAGCCCTTCAATTGCTGTACATTCCTTAATAGTTAGTAGGGAATTAAATAACAGTTTAGCAGCAGGCCAGTTCTGAGAATCGTATTTTTGCAGATACCTTTTCCTTTGAACCCGTGTTTATACAGTAGATGAATTCATTTGAACCTGTGGCTTATGTGGGCGTCCTTTTGCAATTCAAATCTCTGCAGTTTAGTGCTGTTTTGTCGTGATGGCTGAGTGTGTGGGCGATTTCCATGACTATCCACTGTTGGTAAATAGCTCACTTATTCCAATTCTCAGCTCTCCTTCCCGCTGTTTAGTGCACGGATTTCAAGATCTCAGTTATGCCTCCTCTGGATTTTCATCCTATAGATAAGTGTTTGCTTCATCACACAAAATAAATAGTGCGCAGCTCAGGAGTCATCTCCTTATCTACTACTGCTTTTAATTTCTTCATTGAATGTGTCGTTCAAATCCCATTTTAAATGCATGTACGACATGGAGTTTCACTGTATGGCCTGGTATGCCAGTTTGGATAAATTGGATCTACTCTAAAAAACTTTGTTGTCCTTTGCAAAAACTTTAACTCGACAGCAGCGAGTGCCATCACATCAGGCTTATGAGGGAATCAATCCGGATGTGCTGGTTAGCCACTTTGATACAGTATCCTTTTTTGAAAATGTTCCAGTAGCTCCTGTATTGTTGGGTACAGTCTTTGTCATTTCCTCTTAAGGTACAATAGAGAATAAATGTAATTGTTCTCTCTTGGAATTTGGTTGTTTATTTGGTGGTTTTAGAAAAAGAAATTCCACCAGAAATACCAGCATGTGTTTCTTAATCAAGAAGTGTATTAGTACTCTGTCCTTAGATGGGTTTTTTTCTCTGGACAAAGCAAGAATGCAGTATGTAACTACTATTTTTTCTTACTCAAAATTCTGCACAGCAAACATGGGTTTGCAACCATGTTTTGAACTGTGAACACCAAGATGTACTGAGTGAAGGGGCTAGGAGGCGGGGTGTTGTACACAGCCCATGAACGGTGATGCTTGTGTTTGACTGGAACAGGGGATCCCAGACTGTTTGGGAGTGCTGATCCCTTATTCATTCCCAGACGTTATAGGACAGATACTGCTGCCCTGGAATCAGTCCAGAGAAGAGCAACCAGATACATTTTGGGGTGGAAGGGAGTGAAGTACAAACTGCGTTTGTACGTTTAAGACCGAGAACACAAACGTGGTCTTTAAAGGGTGGTGGGTGTGTGGAGCAGGCTGCTGAGCCACGTGCCTAGCCTCCTCCCGTTTGTAACCTTTCTTAAACGTTTGGCTTCCGATTTCTTTTTAACAGTCCTGTCTGTATGGAATCGAATAAATAAGGATGCGATCATTGACCATTTGTATATTTTGAACTTATATTGTGTAAAATTGGATTAGATGAATTTGAACTTGAAATTTGAATGTTTCAACAGATATATGCACTCAGCGCAGTGGTCCATGTAATGACAGTGTTAGCCTTAGATCTGATGCATCAGCACATTTTTCTTCTCCGTGGATGCCCTGCCTTACCATCACTGACCACCAGGGGTCCCCGGCCCGCAGGCTGGGAGGTGTTGCTATACGATTTTGGTTGCTGTTAATGTGGGATGTAACGGAGAGTGACCGGCCTCCCCTTTGTCTCTTGTTTCCAGCCAGGTGGTGTCCGGTCCAGGGCTGTGGGTGAGCGACTGCGTGGTATTGAAAGTGTCCAGCTATGGCAACCAACAAGGGCAAGAACCAGAGCTCTCTGGCCCTGCACAAGGTCATCATGGTGGGGAGTGGAGGGGTGGGCAAGTCTGCCCTCACGCTGCAGTTCATGTATGATGAGGTAAGGCTCTCCTGTAGAGCACTCTGCTACAAAGGGCTGCCTGTCTCAGGATTGAGTTTCAGGGACCCGATACAAGTATTCACAGTCCTCACAGCCATTGACTATTAACTACGAAACGGTTCTGATGAGACGAGAGGCCCCCTCTCATTTGTGATTTTATGACACTAGAGTATGTGACACCCCTAACTGTGTCGTAGCAGTTGGTGATAATGTTAGGGGCTGAATTATTGGTACGTTTTTCTTTTTACACATCAGAAATGAGACATTTGTACCCTTTGGGTGTTGTGTATTAGAACAGCATTAGACCAGTCTTAAATCACGATCTAGAATATCAATGTCGCAGAGGATCACGAATTTTCACAAAAGTGTTGGAAATTGTGTAAACAACTTGCTAGAAAAGAGTAGGTTAGATCTGACTTAGCTCAAGTAAAGAGATGCGAGAGACCAAAAAAAAAAACAACCAACCTAAAAGTCTGTTCTTGATGGAAACGGCGAAGGTGTGACGTTTTATTTTTCAGTGTTAAGGTAGGAGTGGAACGGCTGATTTCTCAGCCTCTATTCTGAGAGGGAGACAGTCTTGTGTGTGGCCAGGTCCTCAGGCGATTCTGACTCCCTTTGGCAGTTTGTCGAAGATTACGAGCCCACGAAGGCTGACAGCTACCGGAAGAAGGTGGTCCTGGATGGGGAGGAGGTCCAGATTGACATCCTGGACACCGCGGGGCAGGAGGACTACGCTGCCATCCGGGATAACTATTTCCGCAGCGGAGAGGGGTTCCTCCTGGTCTTCTCCATAACGGAGCACGAGTCCTTCACCGCCACTGCGGAGTTCAGGTGCCCCCGACGAGTCCACCATAATCCGATAACCAGATAATCATGGAAAGATTTTTTTTTAAAAATGCTTTTAGGCAATCCAAGCCACAGCAAAGTGCATGGGATAATCACTAAGACTATTGGGCATTTTTTACGAAACTGGTAATGATTTTCCAAGGGCCTAAAAAACAAGATGAATACACTCATAGACAATTCACCCTCTTGGTGACTGTGTCCCAACTCTCAAAGTTGACAGTCTAGCTGTATTTTGTTTATTGCAATCTGGGAATTGAGAAATTGACACTGCAATGCCCAGTTGAAGTTGATTCTTGTCTGCACTGCAGAAGGAGAGCTGGGGTTTCTTTAGACTGAATATGATGTCTTCTTGTGGCCTTCCATCAGGTTATCGTCATTAGACGGTCATTCTCCAGTGAATATAACCGTATGTTTGGCATTCCAAAATAAGGCAAAGTGCATGTATTCAGTCAAGCTCGGATTATGCTGTACAGTTAACGAAGCATGATCCCAGACTGTCTGATCACCCGCTGTCTTTGAAATATGTTGAACTTCCAGGGAACAGATCCTACGAGTAAAGGCGGAAGAAGACAAAATCCCCCTGCTTTTGGTTGGGAACAAGTCGGATTTGGAGGAACGGAGGCAGGTGATGGTCGACGAGGCCAGGAGCAAAGCAGAGGAGTGGGGTGTCCAGTACGTAGAGACCTCGGCGAAGACCAGGGCCAATGTGGATAAGGTAAGACTGGGGTGACGCGCACTAGTCTGACTGCGTGAAGAGTGGAGCAGAGCTGTTCGAGGACGACATGCCCTGCTTGTCTGCAGGCTTTGATGCCCATTCTGTAGAAGAGTGAGCTGGACAGGTGGATGCCGTTATAGCTATAAGTTATAGTTTAATTTAACGTTCAACGCATATATCTCCCCCAACTAGTAGTCCTATTCTTGAGATGAACTGTCAGCTTGCTCTCAGTCTAGACTGGAATGTGTTAAGGCTAGAAGTGACACAGAAATTGGGGTTAAGGTTAAGAGCAGGAAGGGGGGTCAGGATACAGACTAGGGGTTAAGGACAGGATAAGAGTTCAAGCGAGCTTGATGGTGGAGAGGAGTGTTCAGATGAGAGTTACAGTTCAGAATCCGTGAGCCAGTTTACGTTCTTGCGCTTTTATAGTGCAACTGCAATTGCCGTTGATCAACCAAAAATCGATGCACACATTTTTTTTTTTAACGGTGTTGGAATGTTTTATTGGGATTAAACTTGGGCGCATTTCGGTGAAAATACAATGTTGCCGGCGCTCGCCGTCGGGACCGTCAAGGAAGATCGGCTTCCCGTCCGCGGGAGGGCTGGCTCTGTCGCAAGAGCAGGTCCGGCTGTCGCCGGTGTGGCCCTGAGGTGCTCTTTCGTTTCCAGGTGTTTTTCGACCTGATGCGGGAAGTCAGAGCAAAAAAGATGTCGGAGAACAAGGACAAAAACGGCAAGAGGAGCAGCAAGAACAAAAAGAGCTTCAGAGAGCGGTGCTGTTTACTTTGATCGCAGCGCGGACCTGCGGCACGGGGCGCCCCTAGACAGCGAGGGTTCGAAATCGGAACGCCTTTCAAATCTTAAGTAAAACAGATCAGTATTTTTAAAAGTATTTCTTTGAGTTGGATTCCTTACTGACTGTCACTGGCTGAATCTTTTTATATATATATATAATCAATCATGTCCAGATTCTCTTCCTTACCATAAGTAAGCCGTTCTAGCTTGGATAATGAGTAAATCGAGATCAAACAGTGTGGTGTCACGGGATTGTATTTTTTTCTACATCACATTCAGCTACCAAGCTCCTCCTCCCAACACTAACCTCTTTCTTTCTTCTTGCTAAACGTCATTTAATTATTCGCTTGCTCCGGATCACAGTGTGACGCTTTGCTGTACGTCTTTGCTCTGACTCAATGCATCTGCCCGTCTGGCAGAATCACTGCCTCGATACGATAACATGCAGCCCATCGGACTGCTCCCGGACTCCTTTTGTCTGATTTTGGGTTAGTTCTTGAACTAGAGCTGCACCGTCATCACTGAACGGTTTTTTGGGGGACAAAAAGCCCAGATTTCGATTTTAGAAGCCTGTCATTTGTATTAAGTGCAGAACTGCAAAAGAGGAAAAGATTAATTGAATCGAAGTATTAATGTGCCTGTTGCAAAATCCCATAAATTCAATTTGATTTTTGGCGTTTGCACATAATTTGGAATTTACACATTATTTTATCTATGGGACGTCTCAAACCCCCCTCCAATAAAATAGGTAAAAATGCATTCGTTTTTAGTTTCACGATGGAAACGTTCAGACCCAGAACGTTTGCTAGTAGAAGTTACTTGGTGTCGCACAGCACTGAAAGGCTGCTTTCCTATTTGCAGTGAAAGCAGCTGGTTAGTTTTTCATTGTGCGTCTGCGTGTGAGGTCACCTGTTCAGGTAGCAGTCCTGCATTCGCACAAAGGGCGTTGCTGGACGGGTTTTCAGATCCGCTTCCTTTCCCGAAAGGAGCAGCCCAAACTGTATCTCGATTTCTACCCCACCTGGAAACTGGTGTGAGAACCGTTGAGGTCTTGCAGCGACAGGTTCTGGTTTGACGGTCCGTCTTGCACCACGCTGCTTACTTGTTCACGTCTCAGTTGTCTTGTACCCCTGTGTACCCTAGCTTTGCCCAAATGTAGTACAGTAAGTGTAGACCCGAGCGTAAAAAGTGAGATTCTACACCCCACCACACAACAGTGCCCTTCTACACCCTTCCTCGAGAGAGGGTTCGAGTATAATTCGTGCCAAAAGAAAGGAGTAACGAATTAAACTTTCAATTTACCGGCAGAGATTTCCAGGTGCTTTAAATCACTCCAGCGACGCCAACTCCTTCTTCCATGCCTTGTTAAAAAACAAACTTAGAAGGTGAGGCAGGGCGGTGGTTTGTAACTCGGCGAGAGCCAGAGGCGGAGCGAGGTGTTCGGACAGCCGGGAGCGGGGCTCGGGAGCTCGGGTCCGGGTTCTGCTGCGCCGCGGCTGGCGCCCCGCACTGCTTTAAGTCTTCAAACACAGCTGCTTGAACTAAAATGAGAATGGTTTCCAATAACATCTCTCTTGCCGTAATAGTACACTTTCAGTTTTTTAAAAACAAAAAACCCGATAACCTGATCACTAAGGAAACTGACTTCAATTTAGGTTTCAGTGAGCGACTTTTACTTATTGTATTTTAAGTGCTTTTTACACATCAATTTAGCCTTTTGTGCCAAAACATGTTTTTTTTTTAAATCAAAACCGTTTTTATGAAGAACAAAAACATGGATACTACATTTTTCATTTTGATGGTATCATTCAACGGGAAACGTTTTTCAGTCTTCCTCTTCGTTGGATTAAGAGGACCAGTGTTTGATGCTGACAAGCTGTTCAGATGGAATTGAACGTCACAGGCAAACTACCCTCTGTTTCTCTGCGTGCTGCACAGTAGGTTTCCCACTCCATGCGCTTCCGTGGGCCAGTGATGGTGGACTGTGGTGAGGGTTACTTATTCTCCTACTGTAGGTCTCCCCACTCCCGACGCCTTCAGAGGGAATCGAGTTGCGCAGTCTTGATTCCGGATCGTACACGATTTCCCTTTTGGGCGTGTGGACATGTGGACAGTTCTGCTGCTAAAAAAAATGTATCTTCTCCCTTTAAAACCGGAAGTTCGAAAAAGGGAATACTGCAGTACCTAACTAAATGTCCAGAAGTGTGTCCCTGTATCCAGTGTGTTTCCATGTCTCGACGCGCTGTCATTTAAATCACGGGCGAAGAATCAATAAAACGCTCCGTGTCCTTGCCACGAAAGCTGGAGCCCAGCGTGGCGCATGTGATTGAATTAGGGTGCAGGGAGCCCAGCACGACCTTAGAGCTGGTGGAGCAGTAGGGGGCCGGACGCCTACATTGTGCGGAACAGGAGAGCTGGGGCTGAAGCGTCTCTCTGCTGCTGCTGCATTTTTCGCGTTTCCCCACCGGTGCCAGCTGGAGCCTCCCAGTGTGCGCAGCGAGACTCCCGTTGTGTCACACTGGGGGGCGCAGGTGGCCGGTTGAAATCCAACGGGAGGGGGTGGCCGCTTCACTTTGCGCTTTTTTTTTTTGGTGCTCCTTCGTCTCGCCCGTGTCCTTCAGCGGCTCCTCCGAGCCGCGGTCCCGTTCAAGCGACGGTGTGAACGCGGGCCGAGCGGGACCGGCAGCGAGGGCTCGGTTCTGCGGCGTCGTTTTCCCTGCTGACCTTGCTGCCGCACCCCGAGTCAGGTCACCCCCCTGACCGGCTGGTGTGTCCCTCTCCCCTGCTGCGCTAACGCTTGACCGCCCGCCTTTAAAAGGAGGAAAGGCGAAGGATGGACTTCTGCGGACTAACCAATCCAAGCGCCGTCCCCGTGTGCAGAACGAAGCCCTGTGTCGTTCTCATTCTGTGAGAACCGGTGCGGGGTCAGCTGTCACACTGCTCTCTTGATTTTAATGGAGTTAGTTCTTTTATTAATGTTGTAGGAAGATCGCCTATATGACAGATGTTGCTATTAACCTAGTTGCTGCTGCTTCACCTCTGAGGGCTGTAACTATCTGCCATATTGTTTTTTTTTTTCAAATAATCCTCCTCTAGAATCACGCAATTGAGGAATACAAGGGGAATGGGTGTGATTTCCTCTACTGTCGATTTCCTCTCGCGTCCTCACCCTCGTGTTTCCACTTACAGCGAGGGATTTTTGTAAGCATGAAAATGAACTGATTTCTTTCACACTTTTTTTCAGTAATGTAAATTGTGTGTATGTAAAAAATTGTAATATTTCTGTACGGGCATAAACAAACAAATTTAACTTTTCATTTTTGCATTATGTCGACGGCATTTAGGGACACTTCACAGTGGGTGTACTATATATATATATTTTACACTGTTGTGTTTATTTGCATTATTGGATTTTCCGTTTTTATCTCTATTAAAGATACCATTGGGAATAAAAAACAGTTGTCTCTTTTCTGCTTTATGCTGAGGTTCTTAGATAATTTTATCTAAGCTTCAAAAGTGCTGTTTTAAGAGGAAAAAAAGTATTGTCTCTTTAGCATAAATGAGTAGCATTGATTGGGGACATTACTATGAATTTGTCCAGATGTGGGATGACTAGATACTGATCATTTAATCTTATTTGAGTAAAAAGGTTGTTTAAAAAGTTTATAAGCACTTACACATTTGTCTTTATTTTTCATATAGAGCAGCATGCAATTTTCTACAGTATATTTCCAATGCGTGAAATAAAGAGCTTGTGATAAAAAAACACAAGAACAATTTTCATTGACTGTGTTACTTATGTAATTCGTATATAATAATAATTCCTTGCACTTATAAAGTGCTTTTCTGGAAACTATAACTGAAGGCGCAGGAGGTCTCCCATCCAGGTACTGGCTAGGTTCACACCTGCTTAGCTTCAGTGGTTTGCCAGTAGTGAGTCATAATAATATAATTCATTTTATTTACGTAGCGCTTTTCTGGACACTCCACTCAAAGATTTTTTCAGGTAATGGGGATCCCCTCCACCACCACCAGTGTGCAGCCCCACCTGGATGATGCGCCAGTCTGCTCCCCACACACCAGCTCTCAGTGCCAGTTCAGAGAGGGGGATTATTAGGAGGCCCTGATTGGTAAAGGCCAGGGGGAAATTTGGACAGGATGCCAGGGTCAGTACCGGATTTCCCATTAGGCCTGTAGGGCCTGTGAACTTTTTTGGGCCTACGAAGGAGGGAAACACTAGTGACTCACTAAAAACGAGCTGAAACAACATGCCTGCGATCGACTCTCGGTGCTCCAGATCAATAATCCTACGCTACTGTATGTAGCGGCTGTTCTAGACACTGGAAGTATCGAAGTGATGGTCGCTGGACTCGCTCCATCAATCACTGGGTTCAGCATTAGAATAGTTTAAAGTGCATCATGTCAATCGGCGTCATTCAGCTGGCGGTGACCCCACTTTCTGCACGTTTCGGAGTGAAAGTGCCGAGGGCCTACGAGCACCAAAGTTTGGCCCTGACTAGGGTAACGGCCTCGGGATTTTTACTGACCACAGAGAGTTGGGATCTCTGTTTCATGTCTCATCCAAAAGACAGCACCTTTTCACAGTGAGGTCTCCCTGTCACTATACGGGGGCATTAGGACCCACGCAGCCTGCAGGGTGAGCGCCCCCTACTGGCCCCACTAATACCTCTTCCAGCAGCAACCTCGGTTTCCCAGAAGGTCTCCCAGCCAGCTATTGGCCAAGGCTCACACCTGCTGGTGTCCAACTGTGGGTTTAAGGGTGACACAGCTGCTGGCAAATTGCAGCGTGAAGGAGATATATATATATATTCTCATATAATACCGTGCATTAAGGCTGAAAAAAACATGCGTGCTTTAATGGACATTCGGCAAGAAGAGACACATTCTACCCGTCAGCCCGTTAAACTGAGGGTTTACTGCAATTCCAAGACCAAGCCTGAGTGTATGGTGCCACCTCGTGGACAGTCTTAAGGAATGCAGCAATTGCAAACAAGTTTGCGTGTCCAGATTGCCTTAAACACCGAAAGAACTGTAAAACAACACAACACGTACGGTATACGTCTGCGAAACATTTCCGTCTCAGTCCCTGGTTTCCCGCGGTATAACACAGTACATGAAACACTAATGTTTGGAGAGGTAACATCATTCCATAATAGGCATCTGGCGAATTGTCTCCCCGCACGACTGGCTCATTGACCCATCATTTCACTATGATTTTTTTAGTTTTTATTAAACCCTTTAGCACATAAATATGTGCACATAAATATCGACCAAGTGCCGAACAGCACACAAAGGTAAAAGGTCACTCAAAAATAAATGGGAGGAAAAGGGTGGTTTTTAGTAAATTTGTCGGCTCCAGCTGTAGTAAAGAAACACAGTAAAGCTGTATTTCTTAAATCTCAGTCTGCACCCCAGTCTTCACAGGGAATAGAGAAGTGAAGTGTATTGAGAGGTGTTTATTGAGAGTTTAGTCATGGTGAGATTTTGGCTGAGGGCCGGACACTGGCCGGGACCCCCTGCAGAGAGAGGAGTGACCAAGGGGCAGCTGCGCAGGAGGAGGGGAGCGGAGGACCCTCACGAGGGAGAGCAGGCAGCATTGTGGCACAGGATCTGCGCCTGTGACTGGAAAGTTGCCAGTTCAAATCCCGCGGCTGGCAGAGGAATCCTAGTCCCATCCTAGTCCCTTAACCCCAACTGCTCCAGGGGTGCCGTACAATGGCTGACCCTGCGCTCTGACCCCAAGCTTCTCTCCCTGTCTGTGTCTGCATGGAGAAAAGCTGGGGTATGCGAAAAGACGAATACCTAATGCAAGAAATTGTATAGGGCTAATAAATAAACATTATTTATTTATATTTATGTGCTATTTCCAGCTATTTGAGAAATGAGCTCGGGAACGACTACGAGCCGAGAGGAACCTGAACTTGGCCGCTGCTGGTGCTCCTGCACGCCCGCTGGAACTCCATTCCCCAGCTGCGCTGAGAGCCCAGCAAGCGATAGAGTCCGTGCCTGGAGCCCGACACTGGCCTGGGGGCTGTCATTTCGCAGGAACACCCAGGGGCTCAGCACCACAGTTACCCCACACCCAAACGTACCCCATCACCGGACACTCCCAAAACATGTAACCGGGGGCCCGGACATTTGTAGGTAATTGATCAAGGATCTCAGCCACCGGAGTCAGTTTTGTTCACAGCTGTAAATGTCCCTCCACATACTTTCTGCCTGTGCCGGTCGCTTCATGTTTCATTGTTCATGTTGAAGGACCCCTCTGGGTTGACCACGTCACTGATTGGGGGGGATTTTGAGTGCTTGTATTGCGTCTCCCCGTGTCTGTTCGAGACTGAAGAGGTTCAGTTCCTCCAGGCTGTCACTGCAGGCCTGGGCTGCTCTTCTCTGGACAGATACCAGAGAAGATATTGTCTATGATGTGGTGACCAAAGTTAGACACAATATTCCATGTGAGGCTTTAATAGTGTGTTGTTCAATGTAAAAAAAAAAAACAGCCTGTGATTTAAATTCTACACTTTTAACTATCGCAGAATTTCATTTGCCTTCTTAATTACTTCCACACATTGTCTAGAAGATGTCAGTAAGGCGTCAATGTAGACACCCGTGTTTTTTTCTCCCATCAGTACTTGAAATTTCAAGGACCTGAATAAAGTTTCATGACAAATTCCAGGTAGGCCCACTATTCGTATAATTGCTGAGATCTCATGGTTTTTATTTCCTAATGGTGCTTTTTCACCTTCTCATTTTCCAGAAACCTAAAAGCTGAACACATCCTTGTAATCGTGTGTTGAAAATGAAATCTAATAGAAACAGTTGTATGGTAACCTGCGAACCGCCTCAAATCATGTATTTGGTTCAATGGTTAGGATTCTCTGAGGCATCGTCCTTGCCTCTCGGTTGCTAGCCTTAACAAACGGACCTTCTACTGCAGCTCGTACAGAGGAGAATAAATCCTTCTGTGCAACCTCTGTAATTTAAAGAGGAGGACAAAAATAGATGAGTGATCTTCTAGACAGTAAAATCATGCAGTAAATAATAATTAGGCAGCCAAGCCTCCCCAGTCTGACAGAATCAAAGAGAAAAAACATGTCCTGCAGACCATCATTATTGTACATCTGTAAACAGGTTGTGTACAGTATGTGGATTTGGGTTTCGCCGGATTCTTGGAATCAAACTAAAAGCCTCCCCCGATGCTGCAAAAAAGCCCAGAATCAAGCTGTGAGCCCACCTGAATGATAACGACAGAGGCACACAACCTTGCAGCAAACGTTAAAGCATTTTTTTCCCCCCAAGGCTCTCGTTTGTTTACAGCTGATAAAGGTCGGTGATATTATAGAGAATTCCTTTCCTCTTTGGAAACTTACAGAATTAAATTCAGTGAAGCACCCTAGAGTGAAAACCGCATTCCAGGCCTGGGGTGCTGTCTGTGTGGAGTCTGTATGTTCTCCCCATGTTCCTGTGGGATTCCTCTGGGTGCTCTGTTTTCCTCCCACAGTGCAAAGACATACTGGTGGGTTAATTGACTTTGGGGAGTACTGGCCCTGGTGCGTGCGTGCGTGTGTCCTGCGATGGACTGGTGTCCTGTCCAGTGTGTACCCTGTCTTGTGCCCGTTGCATGCTGGGATAGGCTCCAGCTTCCCCGCAACCCTGAATTGGATAAAGCAGCTAGAAAATGGATGGACAAAAGTATCTACCTAGTCTAAATGGTAAGAGTGAAATATCAGAATGAAAGTTAAGGTTATTCAAAGAAATCTGATACAGCCCACAGCATTCTGCTGGTGACTGAAAGCTGGGGGAACTGTAAACTCACCTTCAGTCATGAAAACATTGCTTTCCTGTTTTACTGCATTTTTGACACACATGATGTTCATCTGCCTCCAGGTGAATGGGTTTCCACTTCATTAGCCACTTGACTTGGCTGTGTCTCATTAGCAGCAGTACTATTCTAATATTTCAGCAAATGCACAGCGTTTTATCCAGCTATTCCTTTAATCTAAAAAAAATTAGATTATTTTTTTTAAAGTGTATGCGAAGTGAGCACAATATGTTTCATAAGATACTACATACATATGATCTCTTCTGCGGCAGGTTTATTTAATATTCCCGGACCAGTGTCGCAGGGTAATCCCGGATGGTAACACTGACCGCCTCGCTCGACCCACTAACCCTAATAAAGACAGAATTATGCTAATTACGAGCGTAATTAGGGTAAATTTAGAAAGCGCACGTGGCGCATTAACATGTCCAGCGTGTCTCCATTGGCGTTCAAACAGATGGTCGATTTCGGGTTTGTTTGTTTTTTCGGTAAGTGCTCGTTAAGAGCTATCCAATACCTTAATACATGATCACATTCACTTTCCCTTTCACTGGCTGTTACCAAAAAAAAAAATCACATGTTTGTGAGTGCTTGCAAATGTAGGATGCTGTTAATCTTGTCTCCTTTCGTTGCATTGCGATCGCCGTCGAAGAGCACTTTAATGAAATAACCCCTTTGGTCCTCGCCGGTTGAAAATAGCAGGCAGGAAATACACCAGTTTGAAGACGGGTGGCGCTGTTTAGCCAGGGTTCCGATAACTGCTTCATCTCGTTTACAGAGCTGCTTCAAATTCACACATGGGGCTCTGGTAAAATGAATAATAAATGCTTCCTTACTAATTGGGTTAACTCATTTACACTTCTATTAATAATTTCTGAAAGTGCAATATGTTTTCTTTAAACTGCCACAGAGGAGACGCTAATAAACAATTATACCACATTTATCTGCTGATATATATATATACACTTCTATAATGTCATACTCAAAACCAGCGGTGGTATTTGGGGTGCGCTCATACAGATGATAGTCTCAATCTCCGTCTAATGGCTGGAAAACACCGCTGTGACCCATGCGAAAACATATGAACAAGGAAAAAACCTAAAAAAAAAATAAAAAATAAACAGAAAACGTACTGTAAGGGGGGTTGTGGGGAGTCCACACAGACGGGCCTTTGTTAGAGGCAGAAATCACTGCGAATTGAAGAGAAAATAAAACAGACCTCTGTGTGTTAGGTAGTCACGTTTTCTGTGTCAGGTTGAATTAGCGAAGTGGGCTGTTGGAACGCGGCGCTCAGCATCGTGGAGATACGTCACTGGCGACCCCCACTCCAAACTTTTATAGGTTACCTGAAAGCAACAAAGAATTGTTGCACATCCCGCTGATCGCTGCGAACCCCGTGTTTATGACACCTGAGATGTTTACTGTCACAGGAGGCGGTTGGAGGAAAAAACAAATGCATCGCTACAAATGAAAGGGCACAGAGCTCGCCCGTCAAAAGACTTTCCATATGGGTCTCGGACTTACAAAAGACCTTTCTGGTGCCTAATTAAAACATTCTCTTTCAATACTAACAACAATAAAAAAAAACACGTTCGACGCGGAGTCTCTCTTTCTATAAACTGTAGTCTCATACTTGCAGCGGTTAAGCGCTGCTGAAGTTTTCCGAGGTAATTCTTTGAACCTATAATAATCAGTGATGAAACCCAAGTCCAAATCGCTCCCGCTGAAAATCGTGATCTGTTTAACCGCGGTTTGGAATAAAATACAGGCATCCTATTATTATAAATCATTTCCTTTTAAAATATTGTAATGAGTAGAAACGGAAACGAAATGTTTCGAGGAACGTGCAGATGTTGAAACTACAGATGAAAAGTGTTTTAAAAATATTTTGTGTAAGTAAAGTGACAGAACTCTTGCGATTCATCTTTTCTATGATCGGACATAATAAATACCCCAGATTATCAAATAGCATACCGCGCTGATAGGTTAGACTTTGTGTGCGCAAACTCTCAAAACCAAAAAAGCTTATCAATAATCATTTTATTCACAAATTGGTTAGTTATGATACTTCCACGACTCCCCCCCGTAATGGAGCAGATGTAATGAACTTGACCATTATTTCCTTCATATTTGCACCGTGAGACCACTGTTTCAGAAGTCGCTTTACCTTAGCCTAGGGACATAATCCTTTTAAACAGCAGAGTCCAGTTGGTGGAACGCCCCACGTGGTTAGTCTCCTGTATAAAAAGTTTCAGTGTAAAGTGCCACAATGTCGTGATTGCAAGGGGGGGAAAACACGAACTGAAGATTGTATCTTCTTGCCAACGCGCTGAGATACACATCAGGACCCATTTGCAGATCGGAAATTAAAAATCACTTCTTTTTTTTTTTCAAACAAAGGCGGCAAAGATCAGAGGTAGAAGTGGATGGAGATGGAAAAACTGGATTCGGCAGACAGCAGCGAAAAGGGAGATATGATTTAAATGAATTGGTCATTTCTTTCCTCTTCTACAGTGGAATTTCCTATGTGTAACTGTAGTTGTGGTTTTTTTTTTGCGTCTTCTGCGCAGTGAGTGCTTTGTCACGCTGCTTGAGAAATCTTTGTTTTTCCTTTTAAAATGTGTAGCTTCTAGTCATTTATTTTTTCCTGTTGCTCAAACCATGGCATGACACGTCAGGCATTCTCTGCTATAAAGGGTGCTGATTTGAAGACCTTCGGTCAAAATATACACACATATATGTATAGTGTACATGTGTATCGGTGGAAGTTTCACTTTGGGGCTGGTACGTTAAATTGTTCATTCAGTCAGGCAAAAACGGAGAACAGAGGACAAACACGTTGTATTAGTTTCCACCTGAATTTCGCATTCAAAATGACCAAAGAGTTGCAACCTTAGGGAGTTTACTAAGTGAATGTTCGGAACTATTAGCACATTGGGCACGTTCGTCAGCGCTCTGTGGACTAAGTGGATCTGATTACTATGTTCAACAACTGAATAACTTCATCATAGCTATTCTGAAAAAGTTATTTCGGATATGTTTTAGCGTAGTGTATCAGAACCTAACCTGAGAAGACGAACGTGTTGCTGCGTTTTGTGTTCACGTATTAGATTCTAGTGTCCTCGGGAATACCTTTTTTGTTTAAAAAAAATGAGAAGATACATCATCAAAGTGGCCTGTTTCGTGGCTTGCGTTTTTACAATCACATGCACACCGACCCCGGGGACTGAGACTCAGACTGCGTCCCAGGATACGTGCGCGTCTTGCGGTCTCGGGCAGCCGGAGGACGCGGGGCGGATGGACATAGATTTCGTGGAAGCTGTTAAGAGGCATATACTGAACAGGTTACAGATGAGGGAGAGACCCAACATCACCCACCCCATCCCGAAGGCGGCGATGGTCACAGCCTTACGGAAGCTTCACGCAGGAAAAGTGCGAGAAGACGGAAGAGTGGAAATACCGAACTTGGACGGCCACGCCACCTCCAGCAACGAGGTGCAGGAGCAAACTTCGGAGATCATCAGTTTCGCCGAATCAGGTGTGTAAAAACTATATTGCTATTACTGCTGCTAATACACTGCGGATACCGCTGTTTCGTCCCGCCTGTGCAGCGTAATTTCTCTACTAGTAGACTAAATTAAAATCGGCCCAGCAGTCCATCGAAAGAGTTCAGCGACTGGCTGCTCACTGTCCTGTCGCCTGACTGTCCCTGCAATTAGAAAGACAACCGAGAATAAACAGTTAAAAACAGAAGAGCCTCAACGTATATAGAAATATATAGGTACTAACTTTCAAGCACGTGTTTTCTTTCTAAACATTTCCAAATGATTGGTTCTGCAATCTTAAAGCAGCCTAAACAAAGGATTTGTCATAAAAACGCGTTGCTATAGGCTACCCTGAGCTCAGGTTTCAGACAGATAAAGCAATCTGAACAAGAACTACAAAGAACTATTATGTAAATTCCGAAGCACCGCTTGACTGTGAAACCTTTCCGTACAATAAGGTCGCTTTAATGAATGTCATCTTCGTCTGTGCCCCAGTGCTTAAGTCACGTAGATAACTGCTCTGAGAGGAGAAGGCAACACACAACACGACAGATAAACGAGGAACAGGGGCTTAACCTGACCATGTAGTCTAAACCACTACGTACATGAGCAAAGCAATAAAGTCTAAGTCGGAATAAATACGAATAATTGAGTGATGCTACGCAAAAACCTGTAGTTATTGTAAAAGGAACCGCGTTTCTATATGTGATAGGATTTAGAGTAGCCTAAATTAATGAATATGCGAGTGTCCAATGTGCGACCTCGACTCAGAGTACCTCGAATGACCTCGCTCGGGAGAGAAGATGCTCTGAATCGCAATTGTGGAATGGAGCTGTGCTGCAACTTCAGTTCACCGTGTTGCTAGAAAAGCTCCCTTTAAAGCACGAGAGAGAGAGAGAAAATAAAACAACTGGTCGTTTATTTCACTCCCAAGAATGCTTACGCAGTTAATGCTAAATATTCTAAGGATTTCTTTCCCATCCAGAAATAGTATCCATCGCTATTTAGCGCCGATGGCTAACAAAGGGTTTGAATGGAACGCGTTAAACGGGTCTCAAGTTTATTTCTTGCAGAAAGCGAAAGAGATACCCGTCTTAACTTAACTTGAACTACAACCCCTTTCGGTGCGGAGTTAAAATCTGGTTCATTGTTTCCAAAATATAAGCTTTTTAAAAGTCTGTGTTGCTGTCGTGGAGCGGATGATTTAAGGTGCTCACCGATCGCTAAATATATTTTTAAAGTTATCCACTGGCGCTTTGGACCTTTGTACAGTATTGTGTTGTGGTACTGGCTCTAGTCCTCGTGTCCCGGACTGTTTCCTGAGTTCTGGCCAAATGGGTAGAAGCCCAAGCGGGGTCGTTGCCAGCCGGGCATGGCCGAACGACAAACTGAAAGTAACAGTTCGCTAGGAGGCTTCGTCAGGCGAACTTGAAATGGACAGTTTTTCCACCTCGGCACTCAAAACTATGCGATGCTCTTTCAGCACTTTCTGAAGGGGATCTCATCGCATGCTGTCTCCTTTTCCCCGTTAAGCATCCTACTGTATGGATAGAGCGGCTCGTCTTTCATTCAGGGCTGGTTTAAGTCGTTGCCAAGTTTGAAGAACGGTTAGAAATTCCTCATGAGTATGTTACAGTATGAGATTATTACAGGGTGCCATTTGAGAAACGGGAGTCAGGCTTGTTCCTTCTTTGGGTTTAGTCAGGTTTTTAATACATAGAATAAAAAAAGTGTGAAAATGGAACTGATATGAAAATAAACCTTTCAGTATCATTGTTCGCTAATGCAAATTATTTTCTTCAGTCGTGCTTAGATATCTGAAGATATGTAGGACATGTTAAGTAATGAAATACAATCTATGCCACTGATTTAAAATGAGCAAGTCATGAAAGTTTAATACTAGCTCCTTAATTTAAACATTTGCTTTCCGGAGTAAAACAGCTGTCAAAGTCTATTGGAAATGACAACAGGCATTGGAAAAAATGGACCAAGCAAGGAAAAGAGTGACCAGGTGTCGCACTACAACCGCTGGATTCTGTATTATTTTCACAAATTGTCTTCATTTGTGGATTAATGCAGAAAAAGGCAGAAGCAGTGAAATGCCAGTATCTGTCCTACTATTGACCAATCAGACTAATGTTAGCAAGCACATGAGCAGGTACACCTGCAGTGCCATCTAAGAAAGTAGTGTTACTGAAAAGGTAATAGTGCTGATGTCAAGGTAGATGTTACGGTTACATCTCTGCATCAGGAAGACAAATATACAGGAACTGTGTATTTCAGCTCTTCCCACTCGTGATGAAGCTCACTTCCTGAGCTTTCAGGTTTTCTGGGAGAGGGGCCTGGAACAAGCACAGAGCCAGTGTGCCTTTCGCTGCCTCGTTCTCGCTGGCAGCGCTCTGAGCGGGACAGGTCCTATCCTAATCAGCGCGGGCTGTGTCCGCAGGAGAGGCTGGCCTTGCATTTCGAAAGATGAATGCTTGGATTCAGCCTTAGGTGGCAAGTTCTACACAGAGCTCACTGGGGACATTAGCTCTGCTCACAAAAGGCTTGTGAGTGCTGGGAGTGATCCAGAATATTAACTTGTCATCAGTTTCCATTGAAGTTCCACAAGGTGCAAGCTATTGAAAAGCCTTCTAGGGGTTGGTTAAGGACTCCTTTCTTCTGTGTCCATGTATTTAGAATATTTGGGGACCTTTTCTGTTTCCGCTAATGATTATTTTCTGTACTTGTGGCAGTTTTTTAATGCTATCAGCAGGGAGGCTGCACAAATCCCCTTTTTCTCTTCTTATCCATGAAAAGCTCCATACTGGCAAGCTGCAGGTGAAGCACAGTGCCAGCTTTAGTGATCTGAAGCTGTGGGCACCCCTTTACTCTCCACAGAAGCATTGATTTGTTAGAGCAGAGGCACAAAGGAAAGACAGCACCTCTGTTTTAGAATTACTACAATAGCTGTTAACTCTGTACGGAGTTATCTTGACTGCCCCTGGTGAAAAGATGCCTGCCACTTGAAAACACAAAAGCATAACATGTTAAGGCTGAGGCCCGACCTGTTTTCCTTTGTGTGCTTCCTTGTTCGAGTTATGATTGGATGGATTGTCAAGGCTCTCCAAGCACTAACCCAGAAAGCTCTGAAATTTGTCTTAAGAGAAAACATCATGACACAAAGATTAAGAAAACCTGTCAAGAGTGTCAGGACTACAATAGTTCTTATATTCAAGGTTTAACAAAGGAAAACATAGTTAAAACATTGTGTTTCCAGCATTATATAGCCAGTACTGATTAGCTGGCTACAAGTTGCCCAGCTCTGAATATTCTTTTTTTTCCCTTGCCTGCTGGTCAGTTCTGTCAAACGACAAAACTTGTTATTGACAGAGGATGTTGAGAAATGGCACAGAAATCACCTCAGCTGTGTTTTGTGGCTGAGCAGGTCAGCACATGCAGGAAGACCATTAAACATGGTTTCTAATGCTATACACATGTACTGGCCTCACCTGCACACAACAGCAGCAGTCAGCGGTTTAAATGCTGACCTGTCCTTTGTTCTTCTTAAGGATTTCTTACAGTCTGATATACAGGATGGCCAATGGCCATTAAGAGACATGCTGGAGGGAGCCAGGAGTATATAGAGCTACTGCAGTCATAACAGTTTAATTTCAGCTTCTTTGTCTTACATGGACTCTTTGTACGTGGTTGTCCATCACTCAGAGCAGTTCTAAGGAAAGTAGTCTCATTTCCAGCTCTGTGCCCCCAGCAGTGGAAGAGTGCACTGTGTTCCCTCCCAGCAGTTCAGAAGCTTTAGTTTAACTGTGCTGTGAATGCTCACACACGTGATAGCCTGTCAGAGTAACAACGTAAAGCATTTCAGGATTTTAGTCCTTCTGTTTGCGGTGTGTATTTTGGTATCTGCCTCATGTATTGAAGCCCAGCCTTATTTAAAAGTAAGTTTCCTTGGTGCATCATCAAATCTTTTTTTTTTCTGATCACGTCCGTGTCCCTTGCTACGTCGGACTGAGAACATTCTGAGCTCATAATCCTCTCACACGTTGACAATTAGGAGCAGGCAGTGCCCAGCCAAAGGGTGGCAGACCGCAGTGTGAAATTGGGTGGCAGTTTGTGGCATTAGCAGACAGTCCCGCCCGCCCAGACATGCCAGCGACGGCGACAGAGTCGTACCATCTCTCCTGATGCCAGGGAGAGACGGACAAGCTGGAGTTGAGTGACTGAGCTGCTTGGAGGACAACCCAATGAGACGAGCAGAACTCCTCCCCGTCACCAGTTTCTCTGGTCCCCTCTCCTTAACTGTGCTCTTTGGAGCAGCTCAGATAAGCTGGTCAGAATTTCAGCAGGGGACAGCACCAGTTTTGGATGCAGAAACGTAAAGGATACATGGAAAGAAAGTGTCAGACCTTTCCTTTTTTGGCTGTTCCGGGACGCTTAAAGGGAGAATGCCTGCACACAACACAACAGTTAAGTACACAAATGCTGATGGAATGGAATTTGTTAGAAAAAAATATTTGTTGAAGTGGATTTCATCTTCTGTCTGTAGGGTTCTGAAAATGCACGTTTGAAATACGAATTGTAAACAAGTGTTTACATTTTATTTTGAGCCTGCCTAATTTAATGAAAACTGCTGTCATGGGAGATTGATTTTGAAATGTTGTACAAATGCAGTAACTATTCCAAGATGAGAGCTGTAGTTTATCCTAGTGAAAGCAGGCACTTCTTGGGTTAAGTAATCCACAGCTGAGTTTCTTGACACACCAATGATTTCTTATCAATTTAATTTGCAAAATGTCTAAATCGCTCTTCAAAAATAAATATCTCCTTTGCACATAGAAATCTGAGCAACAGCATACCAAGGCCAGCTGTTGGCATTGTGTCTGACAAATTGGTTCATGGGCAGCTTTTGTACAAAGGTTCCAACATATTAATAAATTCATAGTTCATGGAGAATCTTTGTGTACTAGACTAAACAGATGAAGGCAGAAGTCAAAACGTTACACATTTCTGTCTCTGAAGTTTTATGCGAGAGGAAACTTTACTTCATAGTGGTGAAATGAGAAATAGAAGGGATGTTGTCACAAAAATGTGCTGTAGCATATACTGTGAGGTACACTCAGTTACTCTGTAATTACTTTCATATTAACTCAATACCATGTTTTTACCGTGCTCTTCCCCAGCTTTGTCTTATCATGTTTTCCCGTGATACTGTGCTGATTTAAGACATGGTGGTTTGGCTTGCATTTACTTGCATTGCATTTACCCTTGTTCTGCAGTGTGTGAAGCCCAGTGAGCTCTGAGTTTTCAGAGTATTTACAACCCCTTTTGAACCTTTGTCCAGCCTCTTGTCAGCTCTCCCTGTATCTCCTTCCTGATTCAGGGCCAACTGGGACTGACCCCAATGCAGTTGCTGTTCTAGCCAGCTCACTGCGACTGTGTGACAGAGTGCTGAAAAAGTTACTGTGTGCAGGAAGAGAGAACAGACCTTTGTGCATATCGCTGTCTCCCTTTGCATTGCCCCTGGGTGTATCTCCTGAAACACGCTTTCAGTTTTCAACTGGCTCGACCTCTTGGTCACCTCTGCTGGAAGAAGGCTTGGGCTCTTTCTTAAGGCGACTTTCTCATTTAGGCACTTTCCACTGACACAGCACCGCATCCTTCTTCACTGCTATTCACAATCCCCTGCAGCAGACAGACGGGCTCTGTTTTCTTTATTTGCCATTTTGAGCATCCGTCTGAAACTTTCAGACCATTTTATCCGTGGAGGTTTCAGTATTCCCGCCCATTATCACCCAGACACTTTGTTTCTTCTTCTCACCACAACAACCCTAATCTGTGCAAACAGCACCAGGGTCCAGGGTGCATTTTAATGCCGCTGCAGCACTAACAGAGCCAGGCAGTGTCACCTTAAATGACCCCTCTATCCCTGGCAGCAGATGTACTTTCAGTGCCACAGTTTAAAAATCTTCTCATCTTACTTCATTAGTTACTTTGTGTTTTTTATATGCATATACAAATATCTAAACAATTTATAGTAATAATTTATATTTATATTATCTACAGCATACCCATCCATTTTCTAGCTGCTGTCTTCAGCACAGGGTTGCAGGGGAGCTGGAGCCTATCCCAGCAAGCAAGAGGCACGTGGTGGGGCACACCCTGGGCAGGACACCAGTCCATCGCAGGGCAGAGGGACACAACACACACACTCACACCAGGGCCAGGTTTCCCAGGAGCCAGTTAACCTGCCAGTATGTCTTTGGATGGTGGGGAGGAAACCCATGCAAATTCGGGAAGGGAACACAAACTCCACGCCAATAGCGTCCCAGGACCTGAACCAATACTAAACTCTGCACCACTGTACTGGCCTGTGCAGCACATGCTGGTGCTATATTAAAAGTTATATCATAAATTATTTCTCATTATTCTAAAACATTGCTCCTTTGTCTCCTGAAGAAATCTGCTTCATTGTGGGGGGGGGAGAGTTGCCCCCAGTTTGGGCGGGTCAGAGGAGTTGGCCTACACATTCTCATTCTCTCCCTTGTGCGATAACATGGTTTGTAGCTGCAAGCCCAAATGTGTAAAATACGCAATGTGTTATTCCAAATGGGACAGGTATAGCAAATAATTAATGGTTGTAAATGTCTAAAAAGTTAGTTTAAAAATATGGTAATCGGATATTGCCTAGTTACAACATTGGTACTAGAGCAATGAAATTTCAAAAGCTAGCAGGAGCCTGAACGCAAGTCAGTTGCTTTAAAAATTCCAACTGTTTCCCGTTGCTTCATAACAACACTTACACTTGTTTGATTTTTCCCTCCTCTTTCTCTCTCGCAGACGAGCTCTCATCGTCGAAGTCCAGCCTCTACTTCCTGATCTCAAACGAGGGCAATCAGAACCTGTTCGTGACGCAAGCCAGCCTGTGGCTGTACTTCAGGGTGCTGCCGGCCGGCGCGGAGAAGGGCACGCGCCGGAAAGTGACGGTCAAGGTGTACGCGCCGGAGCCGGGCGCGGGCGCGGGCGGCCACTGGGACGTGGTGGAGAAGAGAGTGGACCTCAAGAGGAGCGGCTGGCACACCTTCCCCCTGACGGGGGCCGTGCAGGCGGCCTTCGAGAAGGGGGGCAGGAGGCAGGACCTGGACGTCCGCTGCGAGGGGTGCGAGGACGCGGCGGTGGCGCCCGTCCTGGTCCACCCCGACGACGAGTCGCACCGGCCCTTCCTGGTGGTCCAGGCGCGGGTGGCGGACAACAAGCACCGCATCCGCAAGCGGGGCCTGGAGTGCGACGGCACCACCAACCTCTGCTGCCGCCAGCAGTTCTACATCGACTTCCGGCTCATCGGCTGGAACGACTGGATCATTGCCCCCTCGGGCTACTTCGGGAACTACTGCGAGGGCAACTGTCCGGCGTACATGGCCGGGGTGCCCGGCTCCGCCTCCTCCTTCCACACCGCCGTGGTGAACCAGTACAGGATGCGGGGCATGAGCCCGGGGTCCATGAACTCCTGCTGCATCCCCACCAAGCTCAGCACCATGTCCATGCTGTACTTCGACGACGAATACAACATCGTGAAAAGGGATGTTCCCAACATGATCGTGGAGGAGTGTGGCTGTGCTTGAATTCGATGGGACTTTTCACTCCACAGAATCAACGCACAGCAGGAAATAAAAATAAAAATAATAATAATAATAATAATAATAATAATACAGATATTAATGGTCACAATTCAAGTAATATTTATGAGCATTTTGATACTTTTGTAATATGTATATAAGGATATGTATCAATATGTATTTGTGTGTGTGTTTAGATAGATACACACCTATGCACACGTACATATATTTATGTTTGTTGCATCCTCCTGGTAGAAGGTTTTGTTGAACACGCCAGTCTCAGAACAAGTCCGTTCTGTAATGCACCCTGAGGACGTGACGTCGAAGGGATGAAAGAAGAATATCGATCATCAGATTTTATTTTTATAGTCTACCTTTTTTAACAATCCACAGAGAATTCTTCTGTGTTCTGATCACAACAGGGAAGACCGCAAGAAAGCCAATGCAAGGGATCTGTGGAACCAACTCCAGATGCAGACCTGGCCTCTTTCTTGTGCTGGAGAGGGACATTTAAAGCACTGACAACTTCTAGATTTATGCAACTTCAATCATACAGCACTTCCAAGAAGGAATGCAGCTACAGGGTGGGACACATGCTCCACTTAAGGGTCTACACAATATAAGATATTGTTTCCTTTTTCTATAGCGTGAATTCCACGTGGCCCGTTGTGATGGAATTGCACATGGCTTGACATTCAAACACTTAAAATGTATTTGGCAAAAGGCCTCAGTGCCAAGGGACTACTGTTCCAGGACAGTAAAGTACTTAAGCTATTTAAAAAGCATGCGTTCCTCCCTCATGGACACAAAACCCCCACTGTGTGGATGCATGGATAGTTGATGCTGGGGTTTGAGCTGGACCTTAAAATGCATTGTTGCAATTTCCCCTTGAGGTGGGAAAGTTTAGCACCCTAAAATATCAAATATACTTAAACTGCTGAAGCAGAGAACCTTTATCTCTTCTGAATCAGTGGAGAGAGTTGCCATATTGCTGAGTTGGTAATGGTGTGGCATAGCACTTGCAAACTCAAACTGAATGCACACTTGATAGCACTTGCAGATTTAAATGCCTTTAAAAGGGTACGGGATGGAGCACATACCCTTTCTCACAATCCTACTCAATAAGTGCCGCATGAGCTATGCAATGTAAAGAATTGACCCATACCAGGCAAACTGAACTTTTGTATGAGTTTTTAACTTTTTCAATACTTGAAATGTAATCATTCGCTTCTTCTTCAAAGTGAGTGACTTTTACAATGTTTGCACTGAAAAGTTGCGTGATTAGTTTAAAACTGCCATTGAAAAATGTTATTTTTATAGAAGCAAATTGAATTCTGTTAAAAAATGTATTATACCTAATACTGGAACCAAAGAGGCCAAGAAGTTAGCTATTATTAGATGGCAAGGTTGTTTTGTAAAATACTTTGTGATCATTTGTGAGGCCTAAACACTGTATCAGGGTACAATATTATGGATTCCATTTCTTTTCAGATCAACATTTTTTCTATTTTTGTTCAGCAGACAAATGGAATATCTCAGAAAGTGTCATCCAAATTAAATCTTTCTTTTTTATTTAATAAAACCAATTACACTTCTAGCTCCAGCTGCAGAATCATTTAGAATCAAAATAAATGTCATCGCTGTACAGTTCATGTAAATTAAAAAAGATGCTTTTAAAATATTTTGTTCTTTGTAACTTCAAAAAATAAAATTCTTACTCTGCATTAATGTTCACTTCTCCTGCTACTACTTTCTGAGAGAAGGCATTCATTGTGTTTTTTAAAGCGGCATATCTGAAGGTGTGTGCTGCACAAAGTGCGCAAACGTGAGGTATTTTTTTGACTTTTTTAATTTGAAATCCCCAATTAGCTTTTCAACAACTCACAACTGCCAGTTTGTACTCGCTAATTGTTAATTAACATGACTTAATGGCAGCAACCTCTGTACCACACAGGATCAAACAGGGCCTGTTCAGACACTTCTCCTGCATGTGCACATATCAGAGTCATAATTGAACTGATGTCATTAAATCTGATTTGCCACAAGCGCTGCAGTGCCCTACAATGGAGTTGGCACCACATGCAGGAGTGATGCATCTCTCTTGTGAACAAAACTGCACACGACAGGTCCCAGAGCCAGGGGGACGGTGGCTCTGCGACGAAGGATCTGCCCCTGTGGCTGGAAGGTTGCCGGTCCATGGCCGGCAAAGGAATCCTGCTCCGTTGGGCCCCTGAGCAAGGCCCTTAACCCCAGCTGCTCCAGGGACGCCACTTAAATGGCTGACCCTGCGCTCTGACCCCCAAGCTTCTCTCCCTGTCTGTGTGTCTCATGGAGAGCAAGCTGGGGTATGCGAAAAGACAAATTCCTAATACAAGAAATTGTATATGGCTAATAAAGTGATCTTATCTTAGCTGAGCAAGAAGCTGAGGATAACCCGACTTAAGTCTTTGACTAGTTGTGCACTGTCACCTGGGGAATCCCCATCATATTAGTCTAAGACTAGAATCCCCATCACTGACAGCTACGCCTGAGCTTACACCATTGATGCCTCTCAATCACAAGCTGAAACTAGGCCTGAGAACATAATTTTTCCATTAAAAGAGAAGTTCAAGCAGATGGTTTGCAAGCTGTCCGTACGGAGTGCATAGAGTTCAGTAATCAAGGCATTCTTATTATGACTGTTCATTCATTTGGCTGAATCTTCTATCCAGTAACTTACATTTGTACTCATTTTTAAAGTTTGGCAAGTTACTGGAGCAGTGTGAGTGGAGTACCTTGCTCAAAGGCAAAGCAGCAAATCCACTGGGATTTGAACCCACGACTGTCTCTGCCCTCACCATTGCTCCACACTGGTGCCAGTATCTGCTGGGAGCTTTTTATGTGGGCCTGCATGCCTTTAAGAACATGTTGTATCACACTCACTGATTGGACCCTGGAGGGTGCCTACACCCTATGTGACTAGGATAGAAATAACCAATATGAGGGAAATAGGACAGAATATCACCTTTTATTTCTGGATATTTTGTACACACACATGTTGGAACAAAAATGGTTTTGTGTTCAATTTCCTCCACAATTTCAGGTCAGTATTAATATTTGGACAACAAAAAGAATGGTATACATAAGTACTGGGACAAAACATTAAACTAGTGTAAAGTTAGCATTTGGTCACATACCTTTTACATACAATGACTGCTTGAAGTCCTTGACGCATCAACATACGGACCAGACTCTATGTTCCTTTGAGAGGTTTTCCCAAGCTTTAACTGCAGCAACTTTCAGCTTCTGCTTGTTTGTGGGTTTGTGTTTTTTTTTTAATTATGTAGCTCAATAGCATTCAAATCAGGAGACTGACATGGCCAGTTCAAACGTTTTCACTTCTTCTTTCTGATGAATTCAGTGTGCAGCATGGTCCGGGTCACGGATTTGCTGCAGGGTGAACTGCTGCAAAATGACTTTTCGAACCTGGGCCGATAAGATGTACGCTTAATTAATATACATCATTAATTAAGGCAGTGAGCCAGTTCCAGCGGTGGCCATACCTGCGTAAGGCATGACACTAGCTCCACCGTGCTTCATAGACAAGGTGGTGTGCTGGGAATCATTGAGGTCTCTCTCTTCCTCCACGCTTTTGCCTTTCCGTTACTTTGATAAAGGTTTATGTTTGTCTTGTCTGTCCATAAAACTGGGCTCCAAAAGTGTTGTGTCTCAGTACCTCTTTGCAAACTCTTTGCAAATTCTAATCTAGCTTTTCTGATGAGAACTTTGCGTTTTGGAGTGTAGTGCTTGTAATTCTCCTTATGAAATCTTCTGCACACCGTGAATTGAGATATTGTTAATATTGTTAATCTTGCTCTCATGTTCAAAAGTAACCTTCTTTTCCATCAAAGACAACTCTCTAGTCTTCATCTTGGTTTATGCCTTCTAACTCAAGAGGAGGAGCCAAAACATACAGTAAAGTCCAAAGGTTGAAACCAAGGTCAAACATTTTTCACAATAAATGTAGCCTGGAACACATGCGATTAGAAACACCTGTCATGTCATTGTGACTGACTGTCACTTGTCCCAGTACTGCTCACCTGACATGGGGAGATTGAACACAACAAATGACAGTATTCTTACACAGTTAAAGATCCATCCACCCATTTTCTAAGTGCTACTTCCAATTCAGGGTTGCATGAGAACTGGAGCCTAGACACACCCTGAACTGGACACCAGATATTTGCAGGGTGAATGCACACAGACACGCACACATTCAAACCCAGTGCCAGCTTTCCCAGAGGCCAATTCACCCACCAGCATGTTTTTAGACTGTGGGAGGAACCTGGAGCGCCGGGAGGAAACCCATGGGGAGAAACACTGCACAGAGATGGCAGTCCTAGTCCGGACCTGGACTCGGGGCTGCCGAGCTGCAAGGCAGGGATTCTGACATCCACGCCGCCCTGCCACACATGGCTGAACATGCCCGCCATAGAATACCCAGGAACAACAGCTGAAATTCTATACGTTTGCCTCATATTAATCTTATAATCTGAAATACAAATTTCATTAGTACACAGCAAAAAGAAAAGATGATTTTTGCTTTTCACTGGAACAGAGATAAGATGTTGCGATCATCAATGTGGACAGGTTATGTGGTATATTCCCATAAAAATACAATGATAACACTGATAAATGCTGCGTGATAGGTTTTGATCTGCACTGGCAGCAAAAATACACGTTTAAATAAGCTGTTTTTTTGTTCTTATCTGGCACACCCTTCCGTTACAGCAATCCAACCAATCATCAGGAAAACCTGTGTGTAAATAATTGCAGAATCTGGACAACAAGAGTGGACATGATCTCACTTCTGCCACAAACTGAGGAAACTAGGTCAGATCTTTTTATTTCCAGTAACCGAGGCTGTTCAGCATTCTGACAGCAAAACCATTATCTTGCACTTGAACACCCCTTCCCACCCACAAAGTGAAACAGTATTTTCTGCTGGGCAAAGCAAACATGGCCATTCCAATCAGACTGGCCGGAACAGTTTACAACAAACTGGAACATCTTCATCTTAAATCTAATCTCTGTTAAGAGAACTCCTTTAGGACACGTTAAAATCTGAAAAGGTCAAACACCACGTATGTATTCAAAGAGAGAGACCGTTTTTCATTTTTGCGTGGTGGCTACCTTACGTGTTTCTGATTGGACAACTCTCAGCCTGCCCTGAGCCTTCCAGACAGGAGGCTGAACTTCAGGTTGGTGGCTAATGAAAAGGAATTGAAGGCAGCTGAGAGACATTTTAAAAATGGTCAGTGTAAATGTTTTTGTATCTATAGCAAACGCCTTTTTATTTCTCAGTTAGCTACTGCAGTACAGGCTCTTCTCATCACCCAGTATGATCTGCAGAATAATCCGTTTTATTGCACTGTAACTAATACTGCATCAATTCCTTCTCTCCTGTCTCTGATCTGATCTGAAGTCTCTTTTTGTGCTTGGTCTGGGGGACTACCTGCGGAGATTATGTTGTTTCCTTTGCATACTGTAAATATTATTTTTAATGAGATTCATGTGAAAATGAGTAAAGTATTTCCCCTGATACTTATTTGTTTTTTTAGTCTTCCTTCTATATTGTGCCTTGGGCTGGCTTCTATACATAACAACATTTATATATATTTTTTTGTTTTTATTTTAAATTTTATATTTTGTTCATTGACTCCTGCTTTATCTTAATCTGAAAATAAAATGGGGGCTTGGATTCATAGTTGCTGATGTCTGAAAAATGACCAAATAAACAAAAAACGTTAGCTGAATGTAAAATTCAAATTCTAACAGCATCCTGCTTATACACGGTTATTTACAGATGAAGGAGTCTTTAAAGGTCCTGCGAGGTCAAGTGACTTGCCCCTAGGCCACACTCTCAGTAATGAGGCTGTGATTGGAAAACGAGATTACCAAACCAAGAGGCTGTAGTTTGCTTCCTGATCAGATCACGCGGTACTGCCAACAATGCAGTTTGTTAAAAGTTAAAAGCGATTTTTAGGTTCAAAGTGAATTAATACTGTAAGTGCATATTACGTGGCCCTTGCAAAATCAAAGACCAGTGTCTATAAACACAATCTTGTAGTGATGTTAAAATAATCCAGAGCATTCAGGTAGTTCCCCAGTTACACACAGAAATGCTCATGACTGGTGCTGCCGGAACTCAAAACCTAATTTCCCATAAAAATGAGGGCAATTGGGGAGTGGGGGAGGGATTGGGTTCTGGGTCCTCGCCCAGATAAAAATGATTGCATGTATGCATTCACGTAAAGAAGTTTGTATCGCTCTACTATAAGTCATTTTAAACAAAAGTTTTAAAGTTCACGTAGATGCCCATCCGGAGAGCAGAATAAACTCCATGTCTACTCTGCACCAAATCTACATTCGCAAAAACAAGCACAGGCCTGGTCAACCGCGTGCGTTACCACACGTGTCAGGATAAGGACACGGAGAGAACATGTATTCAAACACAGAACGGAGGAGTTTTAAATGCCAACACAGAATGCACGTTCCAAGCTGCGGGAGTCAAGCGTCAGACGTACCTGCATCCACAACAGAAAGTTCTGTGGCTTGTTAATGTTCATCACGTTTATGTCAGTGGTTGGGGCTGATCGGTGTGGGAAATGCAGCAGTCACCTGCGCAAAGACACATCTGA